ATTTCCTCTTTATTTTATTCAAAAGGTAGCATATCATACACACTGTTCTATACTGTGCTTTTTCATTTAACAATTTATCTTGGAGATCTTTATATTCAATATACAGAGAGCTTCCATGGAAACAGATCTGGGTCAGGAAAGCCAGGAACCCAACGGATGAGAGTTTACCAGCACTGGTTATCAGGAGTCTAGGAGCAGCTGGGCTCATGCCAGCTGTCAAAACAGCAGCCTCATCTCTACACTGGCATGCCTTCTACTCCTCAGAAACTCTGCCTCAGCCCCAGAAAGAGCCCAACCTAGAAAACCAGCCAACTCATTGATTCAACCTACTCAGTTTACACATGACAAAGCAAAGTAGGAGAACAGAAGGGATTTCTTCAGACAATGGCCAGGGAAAGAATTAAAGGTTGCTATACCACTGTCTCAAGTCGCAAACTTTTAGGGACGTCACTATCTGCAGAACAAATTTCAAATTCCTAAATCTACCACTGGTCTCAGCTTAGAATTAAGCAGGGTATGGGGTAGTGGGAAGAGCAAAAGCACTAATCGTAGAATCAGGAAATCTGGGTTCTAGTCTTGAGCCCTTTTTGCGTCCCAGTTTCTTTATTTGTGAAATAAGAGGCCTGAACCAGATGCTTTTTAAGGTTTCTCCTAAAGTCTCCAAAGTCTTTGACTTCTCCCTTCTAACCATACTGAAGGGTCTGGTTCTTACAGTTTTGCCTGTGCTCATGCTATCACCTAGTTCCACCTAGAATGTACTTTTCGTCTCTCTTCCTCCACATCTTTCAAGGCACACCTTGACTTTTCATGGAATTTACTTACTCAGGAAATGCTTCTTGTGAATAAACTAAGTACTCCCATATCAGCTCACAGAACCTTCTCTTCTCTTGACCTGGATTATTCCTTCCAAAGAGCTGCAAAACTTTGTCTTTCATTCCTGTTGAGTTCCTGCTCAAATGAAAACTATAAAGATGCTTTCCCTAACCATCTTATCCAAAAAAGCATTTCTCCAGTCATTCTCCTCTTTGTTTTATTTTTCTTTGCAGCTGTTATACAATTATGTTTAGTCTACCTCACCCCATCGGAATGTAAGTTCTTTTAAAGTAGCAACATGTCTTTTTTTTTTCCAACTTAGAACAGCACCTGACACATAATAAGCACTCAATAAATATTCAGTGAATGAGAGAAATATGAGTATTTGTAAACAAGTAACTGTCAAGCCAAGTTTCAGAGACTCCACTTCTAAAACTACCCTGAAGCATTTCTCACATTCAAATAGCTTGTTCTGTAATAAAGCCCTGTGTGAGTCCCAAACAGGGGGAAAATATAAGTCAGGGAGGAAGCAAATGGCTTTAGGAGTTAGATGTGGTCAGGCAAACAGCAAGGGATCTATCTGGAGTCAGAAAGGTTCCAGTTCTAAACTCTTCCACAGTGCAACCTTAAGCATGTCTTAACCTCTATAAATCAGATAACAAGCTACCTCAAAGGTATACAATAAGTATCAGGGAAAATAATTTATGTGGGGAGCAGGTTGTCAGGTACAAGGCATCATACTCTATAGGTAAAGTATTACCAAAGGCCAGAGGTAGGCCTGAATTGTTAATATAGGAAAAGCTTTACTTAAATATAAACCATCACACTCAAAAAGTATCCATTATTAAAAAAAAAAAATGCATACACATATGTCTGTTCACTTACAGGGATACATATTTTGGAGAAAAAGCACAAGTCTAAAAGACACACTGCAAATGAACCTGGCTTACCAGAAAACTCTTACCTGAAATTCTGTCACATATACTACACCCTGTAATGTGAACTCTTTTTGCCAGGACTTTAAATGGTCCACTGACCATTTTCCAATGGAGTAAATAAACTGCAACCTCTTGTAAAATACTATGAGCCTCCTGGACATGTTACACTGTCTATGGCTTCTACCCACTGTTTCCATGCTGGTTAATGAAAGCAAACCACTCAACTGACCACCTCTCTAAGTTATATCTCAACAACATCTAGAACAGGTTAGCATTACTTGTTGCACTTGGTGGATAAGAAAACCAAGGCCAATCTCCTCTGAAAAGCCAATCTTGATATTCGAATCACAAAAATTTCTTTCTAACCTAAATACTTATAATACTGAATGATGGGCATGCACTTTGGTGTCAGATCTTACACCATCTCTATAGCATAAAAAATGTCTTCCTTTGTGGCAAGGATTATGTCATATTTCTCATTATTCCCAAGAGACCTTGGCACAGGGCTTTCTTAGCACAAGGAAGACGCTTAGAAATACCAACCAAAATGAACTTAAAATTGTAGTGACTTATCTCATAAGCACACAAGGAATTTAAGAATAAACAGAGTCAAACTCAGAATTGACACTTCCTATAAGTTTCAAACTAAATTCATAACCTACCAAAACAACACTGATTATTCATATTACTTACATTTTAATTTCATGTGCAAGAAAAGCTCCATGAGGTATTCCATCCCTAATAAGGAGACAGATTTGATCCACTTCCATTTCATACCCCGCAATGCACCAAAAACATTACTCCCACAAAACCTATAATAGTTTATTGCTCTGATGCTGACAGGTCTGCTCCTCAAGATGACTGTATGGTCCTTAAAGGCAAAAATACTATCTAATCAATCTTCTATTAATTTAAGAGTTAAATCCTAACTCTATTACCTACTGACAGAGTGACGTTGGGCTATTCAGTGAGCCTAATACACAACAGCACTTAGTAACTATTTGAGAATGTTAGATGGTGGACATGTTAAGGAGAGACTGATAAGAGCACGATAATTATAAGACTGCCAGCCAGGGTGTCCATATATACCCCAATAAATATGCTATAAGAATCATATTAATTAGTAATAAAAGAAAGAGTGAATAAACATATGAAGCCCAAAATACTGATGGGATCTGATTACAATGAGTTCAGCTTTCATAATTAGTTTATCATCCCAACTTGAAAGTATTTAGACAAAGTCTGTCATTCTTAAAAATATCATTCTTTCAAAATAAACCTTTCTTGACCTTTGCTTGGCATTTTCATTAAAAAAAAAAAAAGATTACTCAAATTTCACTTATCTGCTTTTTAAAGGAAGAATCAGAGGAAAATCTGAATCTCAGCCTAGTATAGGTGGCAAAGTAATTTTTCCATAGTGAGTAAACATTCCTAATTATACTGAAGCATTTCAAATTGAATGTGTTACTGAACTTTGAAATATGCATGAATTATGCTACCACCTGGCAGATAACTTCTAGTCAATTAATGATCACTCCGTAATGAAGAAATTTCTCCTTTGGTTCAATTTTTTTCAAGTAGCTACTAGTCAAAGTTTCAAGTTAATAAAAAGTTCATCTTTGTCAAGTCGGTAGAATAACCTAACCACATTAATTCTTCCAATTTTATCATGTACTGATTGGCCTCCAGACTTAGAGTCACCTCTGCTGCCTGGTTATTTTATATTACATTCTTGCCCTAAAGCTAAAGAGCAAAGGGGTGCTTCTGCCAGAGTCTGCTAGGAGGAGGCAGAACACTGTGGAAAGACCTTCGCCTTTGGAGGCAGGTGTGGGTTTAAATCCTATTACCTACTGACAGAGTGACATTGGGCTAGTTACTTAGTCTCTCTGAATGTCTACTTCCACATTGGCAAAACAGAAATAATTCAAACTTTCTAGAGCTGTTATGGGGACTACATTACATACATAAGGTAACTAGCACATAATCAGGACTCAATAAATGTTAGTTTCTCTTCTCACTTTTTTCACAGCCACAAAACACTTATTCAACACTCTTTACTAGTAAGAATAGCTCCGTTTTCTATTTTGATGTCATTTTAGGCCTGCTGGCAGCAAGGTCATAGTTCATTAAAACATTTACACAAGTTCAGGATGATCTATTGCCAATTTTTTAAAAGAAAGTTCTTGATTTAAAAAAAAAAAATAGCTTTATAAACAGTCAATCTTCTCCTACCTTTGATTTAAGAGCAACTTTTTAATAGACTAACTACTTCTAAAAACCTTTTTTTATTTCGGCTTCTACTAATTTGTGGGAATTGTCACTGTTATTAGAATAAATACCCAATACATGAATCATTATGAAAAAACCTTGGTACAGGAATCCTTGGCAGAATCCTAGATTTAAGGGGTCAAATATGTTGTGACAGAAAGAAATCTAACTATGGGAGGTAAACACGCAGTGTAAATATACATATGCCTTACTGTTAAAGTGTACAGCTGAAACTTACTGGATTTCATTAACCAATGTCACCATAAAAAATAAATTAATTAAAAAAATAATAATTCTAGATTTTTATTTACGTAGTTTGCAAATTTTGTGAATTCAAACAAAATGGTATCGATTCTTCGCCTATGAATATGGGCTTGTTACAGAGGAAAATTCTCTCTGGATTTATTTTGCTACTCTATTCTGGATTAATTTAGATAGACATTTGCAGAAAAACAGTAAACTATTATTTTAGTTGCTATTTATATGGTTAAATCTTTACATAGTGCTAAATTACCTCCTGAGGGGAAAAAAAAAACAGCTTGGTAAGATTTAAGCCAGGATGACAACCATATACCAAAAGAGAGAGCTTCTAAAGATGCCTAGGATTTTAAGTTGGAAGAATTCGACTATTTCAAGATTTTTTGTTTCTCAAGGATAATTTACTGTTATTCCTATTTTGTAGTTTAGTAGAAATGTGAAAATCCTCTTGCTCTATCCTTCTGGCACATAAGAGAAAAACACTAGTTGGCATACACTATTTTTATGTCAACAGCCAAAGCTATTTTGAGCTATTTTAGTACTATCCAATACTTACATAAGAAAAAAAGGTTAGCATGACATTAGCAAGTTAATAAGTAAATTCTCAGTTTCTGGTAACTTAAATAAGCACATTACTTAACAACCTCACAGTCTATCTTTTGGTTATAAATAATAATGTAATTCAAAAACATAAGGCATTAAACCATATTTAGAAAGTCCTACCTTTTGTGCATCTCCTGTAAAATACGCAATGGCCAGGGTGGGTAGAATCATGAACAGTGCATTGTAATAGAGCAGGCCATATTTTCCCAGCTCCTAGAATAGTAAATAATTGAGTGTTTCTTTGGTTCTAGCAGATATATACACAATCCTATGCAAAGTACCACCCCCATTACCTGCACACACTCACATATACACCTCCCCTACAATATGCACAGCAAATTAGCCAAGTCAGAAGTTTCCAAATATAAAGAAATAACCTGAGATTTCAAAAGAAAATGCATAAGTTTTTAAATTTACTTGAAATTCTTTGAGTGCTTAAAATCAGAGAAATACAAATGACATCAACTGGTTGCCTCAAAATAGTATACAGGGAAGAGGTTTTTTAGAACACATAAACATATCTCTATAGAAACACATCCCTGAAACCCTTCCTTTTCCAGAAATGAATCAAAAGTCATCAAGTTGATCCTGGGCTTTACAGAACCATATGAGTGCCATTTAAGAAAGATGGATGGACAGATCCGAAAACACAGACTCGCAACTAGACCAACACAGACAGCATAACTTCCCAGTGAAGTAGTTATGAAAAGGAGTTGTGAAGTATATTGAAAATTAAGTTTATTATATCTACAAATCCCAAAACAATAGTATGACCTGTTGCAATCTCAGCTACTGGGGAACAATGAAAGTACACATCTTCAAACACAGGAAGCCTATGAGAACTCTGGGTCCACCTTTGACTTATACAACTTCTGAGACATT